TAGGACTTGATGGTCCCTGGGGACCCAGTCTAGGAACTAACTTCTGTATCTTTTTAGAAAACCAAAACACTTCACCCCAAAGGGTGGTATTGACAGTTCAGGGTTCTGATTAGAAAGGACTGTAATTTTTCTGGCTGTGGTCCCAATGAGACCCTTGGCAGAGCTATGGATTGGGTCTGATAACTAGAAATGATTTGGGGGATAAAAAATTTGGGGTTGTATGGCTGAGGCTCCCCATTGATAAAGCAAGAATATTGGGCAGGTCAGCTAGAGGCAGCAAAGGAAGAGTTAGAAGTTTGTCCCTGTTGGTGATTTCCATGAGAAATGTCCTCCACATTTTCAGGAGTATGAATTCCTGGTCCCAAGTTGGTGGCACTGTTTGGTGATGTTTGGGAATCATAGCCCCTGCAGTCAGATCATCACTGGGACAAGCTTTGAGTCTAACAGCCCTGCACCATTTCCAATCCAATCTCTCTGCTTTGTGCTTTCAGTTCAAGATGTGAGCTCTCAGCTTCCTGCTCCTGCCGCAATATCTATGGCTTACTACCATGTTTCACTGCCATGATGGACCATAAACCCAAATAAATAATTTTATCTGTAAGTTATGTTGTTCATAGTGTTTTGTTGCAGTAACACAAAAGAATAAATGCTTGCTGGCCTGAAGATTGGCAGGGGTGATTTCTGTAGTGACAATATGAGAGGAATTGGAAGCTCCCCATCTTTAGAAGGCCGTAATAGCTCTGAGAGCCATGTAAACCTCAATTAAATACCACCCAACTGAGGCTAGGTATGTAGTGAATTAGCAAGATACATGTGTGCCAAGCACAACATCCCAGATTACAACACCAGCACATCATATGTTGTGAAAACCCCTAATTACACTCACATGTGTTAACAGAGCCTGAGTCTGAGATGTCATTTTTCTCCACCACAAATAGTAACCCTGAGATTCTCCAAGTAGCTGAATTTCCTTCATGACATTCTTGACTTCAAGCAAGGTCTGGCTGGATATACAGGAGCTAACACCGGATGACATGGCCAACCTAGGTGTTCATATAGATGGTTCCAGAGACACCAGTTCCTCAAGAGTGATGCATGAATCTAGGAATGATCTCAGAATGTTAAGAATCTAGTCATGGCTTTCTGCCTGTTGACGCGCCCGAGGAAGCATCGCTGAAGGCTCTCGTTTCCCTGCCGTCATGTCTAAGTCAGAGTCTCCCAAAGAGCCGGAACAGCTGCGGAAGCTCTTCATTGGAGGGCTGAGCTTCGAAACGACCGACGAGAGCCTGAGGAGCCATTTTGAGCAATGGGGAACACTCACGGACTGCGTGGTAATGAGAGATTCAAACACCAAGCGATCCAGGGGCTTTGGGTTCGTCACATACGCCACTGTGGAGGAAGTGGATGCTGCTATGAATGCAAGACCACACAAGGTGGATGGAAGAGTTGTGGAACCTAAGAGAGCCGTGTCGAGAGAAGATTCTCAGAGACCGGGTGCCCACTTAACTGTGAAAAAGATCTTTGTTGGTGGTATTAAAGAAGACACTGAAGAACATCACCTGCGAGATTATTTTGAGCAGTATGGAAAGATTGAAGTGATTGAGATCATGACTGACAGAGGCAGTGGAAAAAAGAGAGGGTTTGCTTTGTCACTTTTGATGACCACGACTCTGTGGACAAGATTGTTATTCAGAAATACCATACTGTGAATGGCCACAACTGTGAAGTCAGAAAAGCCCTGTCAAAGCAGGAGATGGCTAGTGCTTCGTCCAGCCAAAGAGGTCGAAGTGGTTCCGGAAACTTTGGTGGTGGTCGTGGAGGCGGTTTTGGTGGCAATGACAATTTTGGTCGAGGGGGGAACTTCAGTGGTCGTGGTGGCTTCGGTGGCAGCCGTGGTGGTGGTGGATATGGTGGCAGTGGGGATGGCTATAATGGATTTGGTAATGATGGTGGTTATGGAGGAGGCGGCCCTGGTTACTCTGGAGGAAGCAGAGGCTATGGAAGTGGTGGACAGGGTTATGGAAACCAGGGCAGTGGCTATGGCGGGAGTGGCAGCTATGACAGCTATAACAACGGAGGAGGCGGAGGCGGCTTTGGCGGTGGTAGTGGAAGCAATTTTGGAGGTGGTGGAAGCTACAATGATTTTGGCAATTATAACAATCAGTCTTCAAATTTTGGACCAATGAAGGGAGGAAACTTTGGAGGCAGAAGTTCTGGCCCTTATGGTGGTGGTGGCCAGTACTTCGCTAAACCACGAAACCAAGGTGGCTATGGTGGTTCCAGCAGCAGCAGCAGCTATGGCAGTGGCAGGAGGTTCTAATTACAGCCAGGAAACAAAGCTTAGCAGGAGAGGAGAGCCAGAGAAGTGACAGGGAAGCTACAGGTTACAGCAGATTTGTGAACTCAGCCAAGCACAGTGGTGGCAGGGCCTAGCTGCTACAAAGAAGACATGTTTTAGACAATACTCATGTGTATGGGCAAAAAACTCCAGGACTGTATTTGTGACTAATTGTATAACAGGTTATTTTAGTTTCTGTTCTGTGGAAAGTGTAAAGCATTCCAACAAAGGGTTTTACTGTAGACCTTTTTTCACCCATGCTGTTGATTGCTAAATGTAATAGTCTGATCATGACGCTGAATAAATGTGTCTTTTTTTCTTTTTTCTTTTTTTCTTTTAAATGTGCTGTGTAAAGTTAGTCTACTCTGAAGCCATCTTGGTAAACCTCCCCAACAGTGTGAAGTTAGAATTCCTTCAGGGTGGTGCCAAGTTCCATTTGGAATTTATTTATAATTGCTTGGGTGGAGAAGGCATTGTCTTCAAAAACCTTGGTGTAGTTAAACTGCCAGTTACTGTTGTGACTTTAATGAGTTTTACCATTGAAAGGGTCATCCAAGCAAAGTCACAGTTTGGTTACAATAAAATGGTTGTGGGCACACCCTATGCAACATCAAAATTGAATAATGGTATCAGATAAAATAACAGATGGGAATGAAGCTTGTGTATCATCCATTATCATGTGTAATAAATAAACGATTTAATTCTCTTGGAAAAAAAAAGAATCTAGTCATGGTTTGCAACAGAGCCACCTTTTTGTTGTTGGGTGTTAACATACCCTCTCTAATATGCTTGCACCATGTAAAGAACTATTTTGAGATTCAGGTGGATACTGATGATATGACCTACAGAAATTAAGGGCAAGAGCTTCTGAAACAGGCCCAGTGGGACCAGATTTGTTTGACAGGTTGCTGGCTAGTTTCTGTCACCTGACACAAGCTAGAGACACCTGGGAAACCTCAAAGAATTGTCTCCATCAGTTTGGCCTCTGGGTGTGTCTATGAAGCATATCCTTGTTCAATGATTGATGTTTGAAGGCACACTGTGAGTGCTGCCATTCCTAGGGAGGTGGTCCTGAGCTGTACAAAGAAAAGGTAACTAAACAAACCATGGGGAGTAAAAAGGAAAGCATTGATTCTGTATGGTCTAAACTCCACAAGTTAGAATAATGATACAAATGAATAACAGTAGGGGAAATCATTGAATCTGAAGTTGGTTTTTCAAATGATTAACAGTATCAACAACCTTTAATTAGATTAGCTTTGCTTTAAATATATTACCATTAACACTAGAAGTGAAATTTGAGTCTTTACAGTCCTTCTAAAGAATACTAAGAGTTCCATGAGCACTCAATAGTTGTGCTAAATGTTGAGTGACCTAGATGAAACACAAATATTCCTATAAGCCCAGAACCTATAGAGTTGGAAGAATGAGAAACACAAAACTGATTCAATGTGTAACTCATAAGACTAAGTCAATAAAGATATTTGACAAAAGTGAACAGTTTTTAATGATGAAAACAGCCAAACAAGGTGTAGTGGGCAGGCCAGTGCAGTAGGAGAACACATGGAAATCCACAGTAAATTGTACTCAGTGGGGGCACTGACAGCTTTCCCTATATGACCAGGAGTGACACAAGGATGCTGCTGTGGCCACTTCTCTTTAGTGTTACCTTAGGAGTCATAGAAAGAAAAATTAGGCAAAACAAAGAACTGAAAGGTAGCCCATCAATCAACTGTCACATATATCTGCAGATGACTTGAACTTATTTGGAGAAAATAATAAAGATTCTACAGAAATTTCTGGAACTGATGGGCAAGCACACCCACCTGGTATGTATTTCTATAAGCTAATATTTACCACAAACAATTAGATGTTCTGTTTTTTCTTATGCCTAGAGATAGAAGTAGATGGGATATAGGTTTAGAAATGCCTTGCAAATGGACAATGGTGATGTTCACATGATAAAATGAATGTGCTTAATGTCACTAATCAGTGCACCTCAGAAAATTTAAAGTAGAAAATCCCATCTATGTTTTAAAAAATATATATAAACAAGGAAAATAATCATGAACAAGTTTGCACTTGAATGCCAGTGTCAGGATAGAAACAGTCCACTTGATCCTTACAGCATGGATATTACATCTGTGTATCAAACAAACTGAGCATCAAAACTATTTAGAAGTCAGTTATGTCCACAGATAAACTTGTGCAGTCACTTATCTGGTCACCATTCCTCACTTCGCATGGATGATTGGTGTCGAGGAAGCATTGGTATTAGGTGAAACTACTTGAGCTGATGAGAGGATGTTTATCTCTATGCAAACACTGTACAATTTTAACAGGGGACCAAGAGCATCCAGAAGTTTGGGGATCCTGAAATTAGTTTCCATAGACTCTAAGAACTGGCTATATAATTGATCGACAACCTAAGCTCTTAACTCCTTTGCAGTTCTGTCTACTATATTTATGTTTGCTTTTCCCCTTTAGAAACTGGGTCTCTTTTTATGTTCTGGCCAGTCCATGTGCACATGTATCCCAGGATTATAAGCTTGAGTCACCTTACCTGAGTGGTAACTGACAATTTTTACCACACAACTTTTCTCCTTGTTATACACCAGTGATAAAGAAATGCCAGCACTCTGCTATAGGATGAGAGGAGAGGTCACTCTTTCTTCATGACCAGGCTGACTGGGAGGCTAGTCTTTGAACTGACTGGGTTGGAGACCTCACACTTATACTCTCCAGCATCCTCCATCCTGACAGGATCTATGCTGAGTCGGCACTTTTTGGAGGACAGAGTCATCCTGTCTGTGAGCTGCAGACTCTGGTTATTGAAGATCCAATGGATGGAGATTCCAGGGTCAGCTGAGAAGCAAGTGAAGACCACAGAGCTCTGTACTGTGACTGTGGTGTCAATGACTCGAATGAAGGGCTGTGTCACAGGCTCTGTGAAGAAAGAGAGGGGACTAAATGACAATGTTCTTCAGTAAGCTCAACCAGCCCCTCTATACTTCATACTTAATAAAGCCTACAGGGAAGAGAATTTGGACCTGAGAATATATGTTGCATTGATCTGCCATCCACAGGCTATATGATTATGATTCAGATACTGAGTTTGCTGCATCTCAAATTACCTATAAGAGGACACCTCGCAAATGATCACTGCTCCACTTGTGATTTAAGTTTAGTTATGAACAGTGGCCTGAACTTGGGATGGGGGAGATACTCAAATCAACAGCATCTGTTACTATTTACCTGAAAAAGAGAATTCTCTAGGCTTGATCCCTGAGAACAAGGAGGAGTACTGAGTAACTATTGTCTCTGTTTTTATCCTTTGGGACATTGATCTTCCTGTGAAGTCTCTTGAACCTATCAGAATAATTAGTTAATGGTCTGGAAACCTGTACATTTGAACTGAGAAGGAGAGGATGCCCAGGTGACCTACCTAACTGCAGCTCACATTTAGTGCAAAGCCAGTTACACACTCTAGTCCTTGGACAGTCAGTAAAGACTTGATCCCTATCAGCAATAACAGGATATTAAAGCCAAACATTGACAAAATATCCCCAGTGTCACCTGAAGAAGAGCCAGGGGCAGAGTTTTGGAGCTAGGACTTCCTGGTACTCTCTTTAAGGATCCCATGGCTTCCTCAGCCAATGCCTGCCTGGAAACCACAGAGTCTCTCTTGAGGCCTTGTATGGTGAGAGTCCCAAGTATCTGGTCTGTGTCTGACATGCTTGTGCTGAATTATCCAGCATATATTCTCTTCTCTGCAGATGGAGCCCAGTGAGGTATTCTGATCAATTGTTGTCTACCCTATGTGTGTCTTGCAGTTAGTGCCTAATCCTCAGTGTGGGGACACGGTGCTGTGCAGGAAACAGCAGGTACAACCCAGTTCTGACAGTCTAGTGTATGAAGTAGGATAAGCCATACCCAGCAACTGGAAGCCATAAAAGGTAACTTACTGTTCACCTGGAGTTGCACAAATGCTTTATCAATTTTGTAATCTTTGTTCAAAGTTTCTAGCATGTATAATCCTGCGTCTTTCTCAGTGACGTCCTTGATCAGCAGGGATCCACTGGTGTACACCATTTCTCTTTGGCTGTATGCAAGCCCCCAGATGGTGGAATTCATGGCTCTGTTGTATTTTGCAATTTTAAAGATGTCTGTCCTATGCACTGATTTGTACCAGTAAAATTCCTGAAGATCTTCTGGCAGATTATGAACTAAGAGAAGAACGCTTTCCCCATCAGCAACATACTGAGGCACTGATTTGATTGTGACTATGGTGGAGGTTGGAGAGGTAGAACATGTAGAAACGGAGGCTGCAAGAGAAAAAAAAAACATCAATTGAAGAACATTGGGTTGGTGGGAAGATGTTCTGAACAGATAGATTTATGACTCAGCCTAGAGATGCAGATGTGGGTGTGTCTATCCTTCAAGGTGGAGATAGCAAAATGACCTCCAATCCCTCAGTGCTTCTGAATGTGTCATTTCCTCTGCAAGGAGCTCTCTCTGTGGTTGTTTAAATGACTCCTCTCTCTCTCTCTGCCCTCAGTCATACACTATAGACACTCATGAACATTGCAATTTGAGATGATGTCTCCCTTGAAATCTACCGACCATAGATTTTCAATTTCTGGCTTTTTTTCAGTTTGCTTTATGGCTCCAGTCAAGCCCTGACTTCACTTATTGATGTTCTTGGTGATATGTCCTGCAGTCCACAGGACTAGGACTGGGTGAGGGCAGGAGCAGTCTTATGTTCTTGTCAGGCTCAGGTCATAGAAAAGTCTCAGATACTAGGGTGACTTGCTTTATGTCAACTTGACACAAGTTAGAGTCCCTCAGAAAGTGGGAGAGTCAATTAAAAGTGCCACTATCAAATTGACCCACGTGCAAGACTGTAGTACATACTACACACACACACACAAAAAATGTATTTTTAAATTGAATATTAGTGTGAAAGAATCCAGCTCACTGCAGACAGTTTCACCCCTAGGCTATCAGGCTATCAGTCTTGGGTGATAAAAGAGAGCAAGCTGACCAAGCCATAAGGATAAAGTCAGTAAGCAACACTCTTCTTTGGTCTCTGGACCAGTTCCTGGATTTTATTTTTGATGCTCTCAATTTGGAGCTAGTACATACACAAGTTTGGCACGGGCAACTAAAAACCATTGTTCCCTATTCAGCTCTGAGAAGAAGTAAGTATAAGTCCTAGACAAATGATCTCTAGGGTCTTATGTAGTCAGGCCTGGGACACATGACAGGGGCCAGGGTTTTCTGGTGCTCAACTCTGTGAAGATGCTATAGTTTCCTCAAACACATGGATGGAACCCCCAGATACTGGACAGAGTCTGGCATTTTATGCTGAAGTACCTTCCATCAATGTCTTCCTCAATAATGGGGTAGGGGGAAGTCAGACTACAGACAATGATCTATGGCCATTTGTCTCCACCAGATGTGTCCTAGGTGCTCAAATCGCAGCATGCAGACACAGTGCAGAGAGGAGTCATGCACAAGGCAGACATGAGAGTCCTGTGTGATTAAGCCTCACCCAGCACTGAACAGTCCCAGAGAATCACTTACTGTCCACCTCGAGTTGCACATGGGCTTCTTCAGCTTTTAGATCTGTAGTCAGAATTCGTAGGGTGTAGAATCCAGCGTCTTTCTAGGTGACATTGTAGAGTAGCAGGGATCCATTGCTGAACAATGCCTCTCTACCACGGTGTGCTGGCCCCTGCAAACTTGAATCTATTTGTCTTATGTGTCGGTCAATCTCAAACTTCTTGTGTGCAATCACCCCTTTGTACCAGTAAAGAGCTTGAAGATTCTCTGGGAGATTGTGAACAAGTAGAAGAACACTTCCCCTTCAGCAACACTGGGTGGCACTGATTCAATAGTGGGCTGGGCAGAGGGGGGAGGGTGCCCACAGGTATAAAAGGAGGCTAGAAGAGAAGAGAGATGTATTACTATTGGGAACTTTGTATTTGGCTAAGTTGAATTCCTCTGTCTTGAACAGCTGTGTCCATTGCTCAGCCTAGGTATGTGGGTTTGTGTCTCACTTTCCTACTTGGTGGAGGTCAGCACATGACCTCCACATTCTCAGTGTCCCCACTCTTGTCTTTTCTACTGTATGGCAATCTCTTCTCAGGTGTCAACATGGCCTGACTCACTGCTGTCCTGCTTGGTGGAGGTCAGCACATGACCTCCATGTTCTCAGTGTTCCCAGAGTAGTCATTTCCACTATATGTCACTCTCTCCTCAGGTGTCAACATGGCCTGGCTCACTGCGCTCATACCCCTGCTCACATTTCTGGTAGATTGGTGTTGGGATGATGGTTGCCCCTCCTCTTCCCCTACACACCCTGCATCTTCACTCTCTGATCTTTAGTTGTTGTTGTTCTGTTCCTCTTGTGGTTCCAGTCAACACCTCACTTCACTCTCTAGCTTTTTGTACTTCAAGTCCGCTCGAACTGGGGCACTGTTAGAACCATGATTTTTCTTAAATTTTTAAAAGAAAATGCTGCTTAGAAAAATCTCAGATACCTGTAGAGACTCGATCAATGAATGATGTCTCAGAACCCTGTATGCCCATGGATTTATTTAAGAAAACCATAGGTTTGGGCATATAGTGTAAAATTTTTTCACTGGCTTTTTCTTTTTGCATTGATTTACTAATTGTATTTGTGTGAGAGTTTGTGTGCAAAGGCCTGTCTCGGTGTGCATGGGGAATGGGTGTAGGACACAGTACTTAGGTGGATGTCAGAGGACATCCTATGTTCCTTGCTTCTCAGTCATCAGACAATTAACCAAATGCCCATATCCACTGATATCAGAGCCCTGTCACTGATCACTACCAGCTTGATTTTTTGTTTGTGAGGACATAACTGAGAACATCAGTCTTCCGAATATTGTGGTCATGGTGAATAATGTTGGACAAGAACAATCACCCCCCCCTTACCATTTCTTGCTCATTGATAGCTTCCTGATGCTGAGCAACTGTCTGACACTGTCTTCTCCTCTACAAACCCTGAGACTCCTCTCAGGTCCCTGTCCTGTTTAGGAGACTCCAAATTGCAAGTCCGTCCTGTCTTCTCACACACTCTCAACTTGTGGTCTCACCTGTGAGCAGGAGCCTGTGACAGGTAGTGTACCCTTTGTAGAGGGGTACAGATAGTGCATTCCTGGTCTCTGTGGTACTATATGCCTTCTTCCTGTGGCACATCTACTCCAGCACAGCTTGCAAGATCTGTTTTCCTTCCCCACTCTGAGCTGAGCAGGCAGAGCGCTCCACAGACTCCCATGGGCTTGGGTGGGTCTGTGTTCAAAATATTTCTCTGCCCCCTCCACTCTCAGTGCTGCCTGGTGTCTCTCTCCCCTTCTGTCTTTATGTTTTAGTCCTCCAGATCACATGTGGACAAGGATGATGAACATCCCTGGGCCTTGAAAGAGCAGCAGCTTAATCTAGGTTTGCCCTCTGCTGTATCCTGGCCTTGGTCTGTCAGCACCAAAGAGGGAGTCTCTGTACTACCTGTGGGACAGAAACCCAGCTATACTCACAGTCGCCCCTGTGAGATCAATGTTCTGGAAAGATGGAATTTGCTTTCACCAGAAAGTGGACAGAACTGTCTGTGAGGGCTCCAAAGGGACCAGCTATGTGGATCATGAGGAAAGGGACAAAAGTATTCTCTCTGCAGTCACTAGTCAGCGTACTGACTCAGGACAAAGGCCCAGGGCCAGATGTGTCAGGAATCTCCCAGTCTGGGTGTGTGGGAATAGGACCCCTGAGTCATAGAAGGAGGATGTGGATTCTACTGTCCTATGTAGAGTTGCAAGTC